TTTGTCAAGAACTTGGGGCGCACAACGCTGAACTAATACTGATGGTGTAAATGAAGGTCGACGATAAGTAGATAAAAATACCAACGCAGCAGCACCTGCTTTGATTTGTACACAGCAACCACCAAAACAATATACGGGCACTAAACGTGGCTCATCGTTCCAGGAAACTAGCGTTCTATAATTGTTGGTTTCCTCTGTCGAATAGAATGAACCTACCCGCCCAGCACGCTACATTACTCATCGCCATTGTAGTGTGATCAAATATTTTAAACTCGACTTTTGCTCCCTCCGCGATATGTCCATGTTCATCAAATAGGTGAAACTGAAGCAGAGCGTTATAAACTTCCTGAAACACGTCCGTTATGGTGGTTCAGTTGTTTCAGTGCTAGGCTGCTTGTCCGGACGTCACGGGTGCGATCCCAGCCGCCGCAGTCGCATTTCGGTGGAGTCGAGATGCTAGATGTCTGATCATGCACGATGCACGTTAAAGACCATCAGATGTTCGCATTTTTGTAGCCTCCCCTACGGTGTTCCCCATGATCACATCGTGGTTTTGGGAAGTAAAACCTCCGATATTCATGTTATTAAACTTCTTGAGCTGCAGACATTCTAGCGCGATTTCTATAGACTGATGTCAAAGACTTCGAAGTGATTGTGTGACGTTTGAGCCGCTGCGGCTACTAGTGGTTGCCTCATATATGGTGCAACGTAGCCAGACTTTGTCACAATAATAACTAAATGTTACATTAACTTGCCAACAGAGGCCATTACCTTGCCAACAGGAACCGAACCTGCGACCTTCGAAAGTCGCAGGTTCGGTTCCTGCTCACGGCAAGTTATCTTTTCACCCACGTCCTTTCTTCAAATTTACATTACAATTGGTCTAATAACTTCTCCTATACAATTCTTGGGATTATTGTCTGTTAGATTTCATTAATATTATGTCAAAACACAGAAAAACGAGTCCTTAAGTATAAACTTCTTTCCCTTATTCATCAACGAGGGTCTCGTACTGGCAGACTTGGTGCCGTAAGGCTGTATACGAGGGAATATTGGTCAGCTGCCAGCTCGTAATAAGTTCACGTGCTACGTGACGCCAAACAGGCTCATTAAGAGTGTGCCACACTCGCCTCCATGGCTACGGGTGGCGCTGACTGACACTCTCACGTTTAAGTTCATATATATACCCAATAAAGTGGCAGGGGGAATAGCCGCCCCCACTTTTTTCTTCACATTTACTATACAATTCGGTCTAATACCTGCCACCAAGCTTTTCTTGGCATTATAGCCAAGCTTGGCTAACCTTCCTACCTTTCCTCTCTATTTATCACTCTTTGTTTAGAGTCTGTTAGATCTCAAATATATATATAAATATATATATATATATATATATATATATATATATATATATATATATATATATATATATATATATATATATATATATATATATATATATATATATATATATATATATGGTCTCTTGCCGAGCTCTTCCTAAACGACAGACGCGGCTTTTTCGTATTGTATTGAAAAAACTATTGACTAATGCGGCCCGAATATTTTTTTTTTGTTCTAGCAGCTTCTCTTTACTAACGACCACCTCTCAATCGATGGAAGTCGCGAACGGGCGAGAGCCATCTACACGTTGGTTCAAATCTTCTACTTCCTCTCTTCAGTTATTTTATTGCTCAAGCCCACTTCCCTGATGGTGCATCTTGAGCTTTGCCCCCTCATGTGGTGCTAAAATAGCGTATTTTTTTGTTATAAGACCACTTATTTACTCCTTTCAATGCCCATTACTGTGAAGTTCGAATGGTGCACAAAGAGGGAAGTTATATTGTATAAACAGTCAATATTCGTTGACTCAAGCGTCCCCCATTGGTGAACATTTCTAGCAGCCTACGCGTCAAGCACGTGGAAAGATTCTTGAATTCGGAAAAGCAAGGTGTGAACGATTTGCCATTTGTTACAACAAACTGTACATTAACTGCAAGTGAATGGATAGTGTCCGTCAAGTCCGTGAAATCGACCTTTCACTAGAGCCTGTCTACTACTATTGTTAACATATAGGCGGCCAATTCTAGTATATATTTACCGTATGCCACTAGTTATGGACCCCTCGATTTATAAAAAAAAACAGACCATTAAGGTCACCTTGTGTTTTGGCATTTGCAGCATATTCGTGCTCGGCTGTCTGCAGAAACGAAGACATCTTCATGGCGATATTGTCGAAGTCACCGAGACTTGGTTTGAAGGTGCAGCAAAGGTCGGAATTTATAGAGACAGGGTGCAATTTTTTACTTCAGCATTTCATTTTTTTTTTTATTTTATGTCCATGAGTGTTCTAAAGGTAACTACAGTAATTCAATGTAGCAATGCATTGCAGTATACGCATCGGTCTAAGATAATGAATACATCATAGCGGAGTTTCTTCGGCCAGTCGCGCACGCTTGAGAATACTTCTGAGATCTCAAACGTAAGCTGCAGAGTCACCGGAGATTTGCATCCCGCCGAGACCGCCGATACGCGCACGGCATACAATCGCGTCACCGCGAGCCCCGCGAAGAGCGTTCAAAAAGAGCGCGAGAACACGTCCCAGGACAGAGGCCAGCTGGCCCCACTGTCTCCAGGGTCGCTCACACTGCGGCGGCGGAGGACGCACATCCCGATAACGAGCAGCCCCCGGGAAATCGGCCCGGCAGCGGGGATCACACACCACCGAACACGCCGGCTCCCCCAGCCCCCGTTCGTTCTAGCTTCCTGCAAAAAAAAAAAAAAAACAAGCAGCCCACGACCTCGTCTGATAGCACGTTTCAATCTGCGACACAGCTGATAGCATCCCTCTGGTTCCTGTGTTCATTGATGCGCACACATCTTCCGCGTAGGCACAACGTTGACAGGAAACGGACGTATATCTCCACTATGCGGGAGCGCATATAAGTGGCAGCGGTTGTGCGCCGCGTAGATAACGTATGTAATAAATAATAACATTGCAGCAGTTGCAGTCTAAGTTTGGAGGAATGGAACTTCGGGTGCCGCCCAGAGCCACGCTGTGAGTGAACTGTCATGGCAGTTGATGCTATACTTCCGTTTCCTGACTATCCTCTGCTATTCACGCTAAGTTCTTTCGAAAAGTCTCTCATTGGTAATGTTACCTTGAGCCACGGTGGCAAGTCGCGCTTTATTCTTAAAATGTGGCGACATTCTCTTCTGTATCTTGACCACTTGGAAGAAGACACTCCGTTTTACAGATAGCTGACAGTGAGGACATCTTACCTACTCAAACGTTAAGGTTCTCTGGATTGTTGACGCTTCCATTGCTAAGAAAGAAGAAAACCGACTATGGGATTTGTGACTTCTATTGCAGGTCAATGTCTTTGCCGAGCTCTTACAACCGCAAATTGAGGAAAACCTGCACGATAAGCTGTCGTTTTACTAGCACTCTGTACTAAGCTAGTTGGTACATCAGTACGTGACTGGAACAGAATAAAACAGCGTTTTAAACAGGATAAAGTACGAACGGTAAAAATAGACACAACGATGTTTCAAGTTTCCCGTCCTTCTCAGCAAAACATACATATTTGCGTCGTTCTAGTAATAACTGTCAGTATATCGGTTTTGTTGTATTTAAGTTGAGCACCAAACACATTCCACAGTTCATATAATCTTCTTCCGGAAGGATGAAAGCCAGGTGTGACTCGTGGAAGCTTCCTGTGTGTTTTTTTTAGGTGGTACGTTTCTCTTATTACCACAAGATTCTGCGTCATATAGCATAGCCGGGTTAGTATATGGAGGCTGACCTAAATGTAATGTCTGTAGGCGTTGGTACTGCAATCTATCATCTTCACGGGCACACTCTCGCAAACCTATACCGGTCGGTAGCAACTCTTTTCCTAAGCCACAAGGTTTTAGCTCCGTATACAGTCGGAGGTGCAGAAGCGCTGGTCAAATGAGGAGGAAACCAATAAACGCCCGGCAAAAACGACGTCGAGAGACAAGACTCCGGAAGAGGGCTCCGATCTTTCCGCTACACTGACCGAGCCGTCGTCACAGAATCTCAGGCTCCATTTGGGAACTAATCCATCGACGTAAACGGGTCGCTGCTTCGGCGGCCCTGCCACAACGCGAGAGGAGAGCTCGTCGGGACGCGCGCGCTAAGCGATCGGCCCGGGATACGGTGCCAGCTAAGCCGCCAGGGAGCGCCCCTAGACGAGAGCCAGGGCCGAAGTCGCGCCACCAAGCGGAAAAGCCAACACGATCCCCCGAGGCAACCTACGCTTCGGATCCGTTATAGGAAGAGTTGTTGACACGACTTCTTATGAACGCTAAGCTATGGGCTAACAGCTGCGATTGAAAAGGCTCCAACTGTTCAATGGCACTACGCCGAGGGCACACGGTTAAAAAAGATCGCACCGAGAGCGCGCGCCGCCGCGTACTACGCCGAGAATCGCCAGCGACGTTTCCAGTGGCGGCCTGTCATTGCTTGAAGCCGTTAGTCTCTCACTTTTCTTTTTCGAAAAAGAGCTGGGGTTATGGGGGCTGAGCAGTGTTTTCCTAGAATTTGCAGGCAAACACGCACTCTTCAAACCATTGTACCAGTGAAAAAGCACCAACACATAACGCATCAAATGACTAAAAATCCACATGACCCCTCATGTATTTTATTTGCCTAAGACGACTGGAAGGCGACAGGCATTTTCTTGCCTGCCAACTGCATTGCCGCAGGGCGAGAAAGAATAACAGACGCGCAAAACATAACCAAAGAGGCAGAAAACTTCCCATGATTTTCAGTTCTCTCGTAGAGCAATAATTTTAGCAGTCGGGAAATGCCGACACTCTGATCACGTGTAACTTGCACTGCGGGAAGTATATGCAACTGTAATAAACTAAAGTGGCGTGAGGTAGTTATGCGAGAGCGAAAAAAAAAAGGTTTTCTTTTTCTCGCTCTCACAAAACTTAGAAGTGCGTGCATGAAGATAAATTATAGCCAACATCACCTGCCACAGGCGAAAGCTTGGAGACGACGCACCAGCGGCTTTTCCACTGAAAGAGAAAACGATAAAAATTGTTAGTCACGCAAATTAATAATAATAATAATAATAATAATAAGCGCACAGCTCAGATTGAATAGTATAAGAGCACTTGTAATCAAAATAAGGTAGCTCTGCAGCAGTTGCCAAAAAAGCGACCATAGCTTACTACCCATAGCATAATCACGAAGGCTCCATGTAGCTTCTAGCTACGAACTTTAACTGCTTGATTACTGCGTCAATAAAGTGTTAGTAAGTTCTTTTAGCAATGTTCCTTTTTTGACAGTTAAAAGCAACAAAATATAACAGACAGAAAAAATTAAATTCAAAAACTAACCTTCCTATAACTGACGCCTCTGTATTCTCATAATCAGCATCTGGCCTATATATGCATAGCTTTAACGACAACAATAAGGCAATTCCTATTTTACAGTAAAAAAACAAGAAATGGAAGAAGAATTTTCAAGTGCTATTATTTGTACAAATACCTTTTAGTGCATCATGGCTACCTCAGGATATTGCATATCTCTGATAAGAAGAGACCAAATACCATCTCGGTATGCACCGAACTAATCACTGTGCGACATGTGCTTTAAAGTCGGTAAAACACATACTTATAGTATACTTTCGGGAAGTTATATGTAGTGGTGACTGCCGCTATGTTCTTGTAACTAGGTGACAATGTACTGAAATTTTTGTAACCAACCAAGTGCATTTATATACGTCAACATGAATCTGTCAGGCACTAATTACTCATGTCTGTTATGGCTAATTTATACATTCTTTTGGAAGGACACTATGAGAGAGCGCATGGGACGAGATCGATTTTATAAAGAATACGTTGTTGAGAAGCTAATCAGAAAAAAAAAGTTAGCGAAATTCTGCGGAAGACAGTGACTATTCTAGGAGCAAAAAAAAAAAAAACTAGGAAGCGCAAGAGCTTGGGATTTCTTTCTCGCTCACCCGTCGGTACGAAACGTTTTTTCAGGGCCGTTACTGCCCGATATATCGGGCTGAAAGTGCAGAATAAATTTGTATACGCGAAACTCCCTCGCGCGAGCGTCGGTTAGCGATGGCACATCTGCTTTCCGTTGATGGCCCCAGTGCGAGCAACGGGAAGCTGCATCCAAAGCGCCCAGGGAAGCGGCCAGACTTTGATGGACGAGCGAGCGTCTTTGGCGATTCTCACTTGCACCAAGAGAACCTAGCAGCCACGGGTAACAAACTCGCAGAAAAGGATGCGGCAAACCGTCATATTCAATTATGGGCGTATGCAGATGGTGCAGAGGTTGCCTCTTTGCTCGCGTGTCCTCCCCTACCATCGCCCCGCCGCGGTGGTCTAGTGGCTAAGGTACTCGGCTGCTGACCCGCAGGGCGCGGGTTCGAATCCCGGCTGCGGCGGCTGCATTTCCGATGGAGGCGGAAATGTTGTAGGCCCGTGTGCTCAGATTTGGGTGCACGTTAAAGAACCCCAGGTGGTCTAAATTTCCGGAGCCCTCCACTACGGCGTCTCTCATAATCATATAGTGGTTTTGGGACGTTAAACCCCACATATCAATCAATCGATCCCCTACCATCGGCAGCACCCGTGGGACAGCAAAACCTACGCGATAAACCATCCGATGCGGTAACCCGATGTGTTGCATGCCCATAAGCTGCCCGCTGCTCTCTCCGAGATACATTAACAAGCAAAAGTGATGCGACAAAATTTCTTTCCACTAGACTGTCCAGCCGCGACGGAGAGTTTTGCCTTTTCGTCACACACCGAGAGACACTCTGTCAGCTATTCGAGTGCACTGCTTCGGATAGAAACGGCAGAATTCTACTTTTCATAAGATTGTCACACCTCCACACGTTTGTTTCGTGGAAATAAATATGGGCTTCCGTTTGCGCCTTAGACAATATGTCTTTTAAGTGAGGTTTACTCAATTTGTAATGTCACTTGGGCAATAGCTTTCAGTTCAGATAGGCTATCACAGATAATAAAATGGTCCTACTTCTAAAAGGGAGTGGAAACGATAGGAGCACATAGTGTCCGTTGCATTAAATTTGGTAAGCGGTTTTGATAATGAAAAAAAAACAACAAAACGACATGCTCTGAGGCACGCAATAGCTGTTTCTTTTTTTTTCGGGGGGGGGGGGGGGGTATTAGTTAAATGCTGTAAGTCACATAGTGAAGTTTTTTACTGCTTTGTTCGAGAGCACCCTACAACACTGTTTCAGGTATGAAAAAAATCAATCCTGGACTGTTGATGGTATATATAAATAGATTTTCTCAACATCATCTTTCAAACTAAGTTGTTTGGCGTGTGAGGTAACTAACCAACTAACCAACTAACCAACTAACTCAGCAGTGAGCGCTACCCGTACTTCTGATTGATTGAAAGCGGAATCTTATGTGGAGCTTTTATACGGAGATTCGACCATGATTAAGAGCCAAGTGTTGTTAATGTGCCCAGAAAAGCCGGAGTGGGCAATATAGACTAAACGACTGCATCCGGTCCTGTTATTCATTTGGCCCTGATAGGAGCAAGTACGTGGACAGCATAAAAAAAAAAAAAGTGAGGGGAATCTGGTGGGGCTTCCCATGGGTGCACTGAACAGATTGTTTCCGGAAGGTACACGGCTGACTCAAAGGAAAGTGTCTGCCTTGCGTTTAACTAATCCGTCTGCACTTGAAAAGCATAATACATGGATAAAGACGCTCAAGAGGAGTGATTTCTGGCTAGGTCTGCTTGGTTAATCTTGCCTGCAGCAAAACCATCATGACTACCACGAGCACTACAACTAAAACGTATATTACTTAAGAAGCAAAATTGTAAACATAAAAAGTGTGAAGCAGCAATCAACGTTGGCTATATGGGAAATGGAAACAAAAAGAACAGCGAGCCCCAAACGTTTACAGCAAATAGTTGTCCTCAGACGCACTGTCACGGCAAGATCTAAACATAAAAAAATTCAGAGGGCAGGTCGAGGTAAAACTGATGAGGTGCGCTGAGCGACTGTTTTTCTGAATATTTTGCCCTTTCCATTTCAATTTTAGCAATTATAAATGAAAGTATTATGTTTGAAATATTACGAGGATCCATTAAGCACTTATCAAACATGTAACTAAAACAGACTAATTTGAAACGTAGCATATTGCGAGTATAAGACAATAATAATTTGAGTAGAGATCTGTCTGACCGAGGAAGCCAAATATTTGCGACAAAACCTGGACATCTTCATTTACAAAGGCGTTTTCTTCGCATATGGTATTTGGTATCGAGTTATGTGTGAAAAATTTTGTGCGGGCTGCGTGTGTGTGCTCTCTCCATAATAAAGAAAAAATCATCGCAACTTCATTGATTTTCATGCTAACACGAATATTTAAGGTGATTTCTCTCTCTCGCTGTCAATATAGTAAATGCGCGCAGCAATGTTTAACCCTGATGATACCCTGATGATATATAGAGAAACCAAGTTAACTCTACAAGAGTGATTTGTTCAACTTGATTTTGCCCTGCACCATTCGAATAGTTCCCACGTTGCGAAAACATTGCTTGCGTCTCCCTAATGATGCGTTCCTTCTAACAAACCATGTTCAGTGATGTGCAATTAATCAAAGCTCGCTAACTATACCCAGGAAAAAAGTTATCGACAAGTGGCGCTCCTGCAGCGGTCGTAAATTTAAATAGGGACGCTTCATATAAGACAGCGATTCATTTCTAAACCAAGCACACAGATAACGTATAGGATATTCCAAAGGAGTAAATATTACACGCCTAGGGAGGTTTGTCTGCTTTTTTTTACGAATGACTCAGTCTCTTCTTGAAGGACTGGTAAAAAATTGGTCGAGTTGTTTCGACACGATGCCTTGTGTTTTCTTTCGTCGCTATAGTTTTTGATCAGAAGCGTGTTCCAAATTGCCCTCTAAGTTTGAAGCATGACAGTGTTTACGCTGTCCAAACTTCAGTGCATTTTCGCTCAATTAAACATCTATTGGGAATAAGCTTCAGCGAGTAGTCTATGTATGTATGTATGTATGTATGTATGTATGTATGTATGTATGTATGTATGTATGTATGTATGTATGTATGTATGTATGTATGTATGTATGTATGTATGTATGTATGTATGTATGTATGTATGTATGTATGTATGTATGTATGTATGTATGTATGTATGATGTATGTATGTATGTATGTATGTATGTATGTATGTATGTATGTATGTATGTATGTATGGATGGATGGATGGATGGATGGATGGATGGATGGATGGATGGATGGATGTATGTATGTATGTATGTATGTATGTATGTATGTATGTATGTATGTATGTATGTATGTATGTATGTACGTACGTACGTACATGTATGTATGTATGTATGTATGTATGTATGACGTGGCCTCTTCAAATCAAACCGGAAGGCCCCATACATACATACGTACATACATACATACATACATACATACATGTATGTATGTATGTATGTATGTATGTATGTATGTATGTATGTATGTATGTTTGTATGTATGTATGACGTGGCCTCTTCAAATCAAACCGGAAGGCCCCAGCGCGTCGTTTCGTGCAATCGTCGTAACGCGTTGGGCCGACCAGTGCGATTTGTCGAGTATGGCATCGGATAAGACGAAAGCAGGAATCTTCGAGAAATCCAAGCGTTGCTGTGCATTGTAGCTAGTCCACAGCTGAAAAAGTAGGTTGAACTTCTTCAGCTGTGAAATCTATGATGTTTATAATGGTTGTATTCACATAGAAAACAAAGGAAGCTTTTTATTTTTAAGTGCCAAACACTTTAGGTGCCCGGGATGTCGTACGCTTGGTTCACACAGACAGACTCACGTAAGCGAAACCACATATAGCGCAGCCGTCTGTAGCATAGCGAGTGAGCGTTCACTCCAAAGAGAACTCATGTAGTTATTCGAGCGCCTTCATGAAGATACTGAGTGGGGAGCACTTTAGGCGCCCGGGCTGTTGTATGCTGTTGTCGCTTGGAGTTACCCATACGGAACCTCGAGGTATACAACAGAAAACAAGAGGAAGCAAGCGAGAAACAGAACGGGAGAGAAAGAAAGCGAAGATTAGGAAGGAAAGCAGTGACAAATTAAACTCGGAGAGAAAAAGAAAGAGGAGAAAATTAGAAAGAGAAAAGTTGAAGCAAACAAAGAAGGCTACCCAGGTCTACCCTTGCTTCAGGCATGGCACCCGTAGGGCGAAGCGCCTAATTGGTTTTGTATATAGGCGTATGAAATGCGAACCTTAATTAACCTTTTTTTTTTGTCACAGATATTCATATTATTAACTTTTATTTACTGCTGCAGCTGACTTCGTACAATGAGGCCACTGCAACTCTTTATAGTATCAAATTAGGCGTGCACAACGACCGTTAGATGTTATTAGCAGCTACAAGCACACTCTTATGTGTTTCGCCAAACTTTCTTGCTGGAAATTAAGTAGTGAAATGAGCTTGTTGAGCACGTCAAAATAAAACATTTGCCGAAGTCACGAAATATCTGAAGCTAGCATGCAACCCATCTGCAGCGACCAGAGGAATAAATTACATTGTCCAAGTAACCACAAAGTTTAAGGCAAGCGTCACGCCACTTGTGATACTGCAACGCTAGTATTTGTTCTGGAATGTTAAATGCGAAAGTTACACCATAAAGGAACACTCATAAGTGCCTATAAAACTGGGCTCATAGAAAAAGTTAGCCTGTCGTACTATTTGTAAGCAAACTCGCTGGCAAGTGTCCCTGACAATTTGTCGTGGGCTCACATAATAAGAGAAAAGAAGCTGGCGTTTCCATTGAAACAGCATACTTGGTCAGGCACAGATATTGCCATTTTGGTTCAGGTTTCGTTTGTTTATAGAGTCTATGGAAGAGCCTGGTGCAATTAGTTTACTGTAAAATTACTCGTTGTCTGTCACATACAAGTAATAAAGGGTGCCTCATGGTGGGCGTTATTTATTGAAAAAAGTCTATGAAGACGTCACTCGGCGCTTTTTAAGGGCGCATTGCATCATTCTGGGAGGAGTCACGGATAAATTATCGCGTCGCTGCTCGTAAGCGTGGTTTTTATTCGCGAATATCCGGCCAGCTCTACTTAAATGTCCACGACCGATGCATCACTGACACTGCATCACCACAAGGTGTTTTAATTCGCAGATTTTAAGGAAAAAAAAACAAAGAAAGATGTGTGCTTGCTATCTGGTGGGCAAAGGTGATTTCTAGATATATAAAATCTGATTATTTTTTCCCACCAACTTTTTCGCACCGTATCAATGTATTTAGTAAACAATAAACGCATATATGTTTACTACAGTTCCAAGCGTTTTTCTTTTCTAGCAAGTACTAAAGGTAGTAAATTTTGCTGACGCTTAGCAGGGAGGTTTCCGTAGTGTTTTCAGCTACGTAAGTACTAAGCCATATGTGTGGCCGGATGCTTCGCAGATGCCGTGGTATATTATATCTAATTGTGACAGCCTTACGAAAAATTTAGGTAAACTTCAGTTTTCATAATTAACTTGGGGTATGTTTCAGGCTACTCAATGACACACGTGCGTGAAGATGGTATAGCGCAAGATAATAGGTAGAAAACATCCATTATTCTACTAAATTTGATGGTCTCTAACCGGCACACGGCGAGCTTTCTCGAAGCAAGAGCATAACCTTCAAGCTGCTGTTAGAGTATATATTGAGTGCATAAAAGTCTTTATATTCGTATGTGCTTCAGTGCGCGTTCTCGTTTGTAGTCCACGCATACCTCTAGATACATTGTTGTAATGGTGTGCTTACCATTGTAATTACTCGAAATAATTAGCACTAGTAATAGTTATCGAAGACATTTTGGCACGATTTCACTTTTTAGTTCATCTTATGCATGTTTTGCGCTAGAATCAATTTCGTATGGCAACGTACAGGCACATATAAACAAGATAGGCGAAAACGTCCCCCTGGGTAATTTAGACCACAGTGGTTAGTAGGGTTATTATGTGACTAGTGCGGTTCCTCACAAGTTTGTAACGGAGTAATCATACGAGATAGCAATATTTGCTCACTAAGCAGGTAGCGAATTTAACTACAATGTACTTTACTACCTTGACTTACTAAGGAGTTGGTGCTCTTTGTGACAAGTAAACTGCTAGTATTTAAAGGGGGGGGGGGGGTGAATATTCCGACTACTTTTTTTTCTAAAAGCGAAGGGTGGTGGCTCCTCTACGTATGAACCGCTAAGACATTTCATATGAATGGTGGTGGTGGTGGTTGTCGTGATGATGATGATGATTCAGCGAGTGAACACGTGTAGGTATGAGGACCTTGTATACCTCACCAAGAATAATATACACGTCATCTCCAAGGTCGAATTTGTGAAACTGTAAAATGTCATAAATAAAAAAATGATATATAGTCTTTTGCGGCCCAAGGGTGAACTAACTAAAAATACTAATGGCATTGCGGCAATGAACTTTGCATTCGTTTCCGCAAGCAAGCTAACTTAGCCCAATAAAATTTGAGTCAACCTCTGATTCTATTAGTACAAAGCCTAAGTTGTCTTGGCACCCTCGTAAGAGACAACGATTTGGACCTTTCCTATCAGCTCCGAGCAGGTTCGATCTCCTATTTCGCGGAAACTCCCCACACTCCCGTTTACCGTTCGCGACAGACAGCAAAGAAAGAGAAGGAAGGTTGTGGCAGCTTACCTTTCGGCCATCGCGGTACTTGAGCGATCCTTCGATCACGGTCCTCGGGTCGCACATGGTCGCTGTTGAGACACACAAATCCGTTCAGTGCGACGCAGTGACGTGGAGCCGTAATGGGTCGTCGTCGTCGTCCCTCGTCGGCCGCGTTTTCCGGGCGTCGTCGTGCATCACGCGCACATGGATTCGAGACGACGCGCGTCACGAGGCGGCGAGCGATTGCGCCGGATGAAGAGCGCGCCGCGACGCTGGAGGACCGTGATGGTGTCCCGGCGCCCCGCTACGGGCTGACGCACCGCTTTCAATCTGGCCGCCTTCTGGCGGCTGCTGCTTGGGGGGCGCACGTCGCGCGAGACTCGCGCCCGGCGCCCGCTCTGATTGGCTGCGCGGCTGCGACTCCGACGCTACCCTGGCGGCGGCCGAGTCGCGGCCAGAGCGGATATCTCCGGGACGCAACGCCTAAATCGCGAGAAGCGGCCCGCCGACCACGTGTTGGCAGATGTTGTCAGTGTTGTCGGGCTGTTGTTTTGTTGTGGGGGCGAACATACTGTGCCGACGCGGCGCGAAAAGCAATGACCCCGGTCGATTATGAGCAAGCACCACAGCGCTGGAAATATGACGGCTCTTTGTTCCGTTTGTCGTTGACTCAGGTCCCAAGCCACGCGCGATGAGTCGCCTGAGACCGCGCGCTCGGATTCCCTATTGCGGCGAAAGAGAGAGAGAGAGAAAAAAAATATCAGAAAAACAACGGCGAGCTCATTTTTCTCAGCCAGCGAACTTTTCTCCGAAATTATATAGCTTCCCCCCCCCCCCCCCATTTTCCTTTTATTCGGGGATGCCCGGCTCAAATCTAATGCGCGCAATGTGCAGAATGCTTTCGAGGCGTGTCACTAATAACTCCTGGAAAGTTATCTTGTTACATTCATCGAAGGATCCCTTGCTTTGTTTTGGCTCACTAAGTGCAGCATGTGAAAGTGACTCGGCATTCATCCGACTGCATAAACACTTGTATTTGAGACCTTATTATGTATATTTAGAAGTTATGCATTTTATGAAATGCCTCGTATCATGCAAATAGTATCAAGCCAGTTCAGACAAAAAAAAAAGAGCAGCAGATAATCACCACAATATGGATTCTTGTATGTACTATTTAAAAGCTTGAAGATCATAGCGTGCATTGCCGATGAAACACACATACAGTAGTGAAAAGGAAGCACTGTGGGCTGAGTAAAGTGATTAAAGAAAAAAGTGTGTTCAGGGCTGTACGTATATAGAGGGGAGAAAAACTAATTGTGCATGTGCGAAAGAAATAGTCGGAAATAGAGGAGAAAAATGTGTTTGTGGCCACTCCAACGTCGTGTAAGAGAGACATTATGAAGGTACATTGGAACATTTCTCGCAATCTCTTCTCAGGAACGTTCACGACAATATTGGGACTAGTCAATTATGTTGTTTGCACACTTTAGAGGCTACTTTTTAAAATTTATACAGCATGTCCGCACAGTCAGTTTTGATCATTGAAATAACAAGGTTGCATTGCACAAGCAACACCAAGTTCGTTGTTCGCAGTCGACCTTCCCAGTCGAGGCACCAGGGAAAAATTGTCTTGGTAATGGTGCACCGTTGTTAAAACAACGAAGCTTATGCTTTAAGAATGTATGTCTTTAGCCGCTATGCCGTGGCAATTTTTTCTAGACTGAATCACATGCATGCCTTAACTCTCTATTTTGTTTCTTCCTGCGTTTCCTATCCCAAAACATTTCCTAAATATTTTTCTCCTGGGCATTCGTGTCATCAGTGGGATCAGCCGTTCGTGAAAGATGAATGATAAAAATGACGGAATCGAGAAGGCGGCATCGCTACAAAATAACAATCTCAGTTGTCAATTAAGAAATTGCAATTACTTATAAAGAATCTGTTATAACTGTGGTGTTTAAGTACATGCTTACTGAAAACAAATTCCTGTAAAAGAAAGACCAAAAGACATGAACAACAACGCGCCACCATACTTCCACCCTGAAAGTTGCTCACGCAGAAAGGCTCACTAAAAAGTTTTCAGGATTAAGGCAGTAAAAATAATGGCTGTTAGCAATGTACTGGGCAAATAAATGAAATTTCTTAGTTTTATCTGCAGAATATTTCACAGCAACCTTTCGTTCCCTAAATAAATGAGAAAGCATGATGTCGCACGTATAAACAAGATAACAGAAGGAAAAAGTTTTCATGACCATAAACGCTCACTGGCAACGCTGGCGCAGTAATCGGCAAAGAAGGTGAACGAAAGCCTAGCGTTGCCTCTCGCTTGAAGGCGTGCCTGAAGCTATATGAAGTAACGTGCCTTCTAACACTTAGTGGAGGAGAAAAACTTTATTTTCACAATGGAGTTTGGATCACGCAGGCTCGTGGCCCTCCGCACGATCCCGCTGCACTCGAGCGTTCATTTGGTGGTGCTCTATGACGCTGGCAGCCCGGTCGGCGGCCATTGTCTGCTCAACCAGGTCCTCTGAACGCAGCAGGGTCTCCCAGTCCGCCCAGGTCATGAGGCGTTCTAAAGCTCAGGGGGGAGGATCCGCCAGGCAGTGAGAAATTATGTGTATAGCAAAAACTTAAGATTCAGGGAGGAGAGTATACATCCCTTTTTCCTAATACCTGTACTCTCTGCCCTGAATTTTACTTAGTGGAGAAAAAAGCAGGGGACCCCAAAGCTTTGCCTTTAAGAGTTGAACGAAATAGCGACATCCTGTTCCTAATGCGTATCTCTAGCACTTGGTACATGAAGCCTTTTTCGAATTTGCTGTGCATCCACTGTACAGCAAAAAACACGCTACTGCACATATTCCTTAAGGGAATAGGTGCAGTAGCGTGTTTACCTTTTGTAGTGGGGTACCAGTTTTCAACCATGGAGCCATTATAATAATCACATAATCTGACGCCCGTTGGCAACGGACGCTTGTACAACGCATTATTACTGCAATATTTCATGTTGCATTGTGAAGCATGTATACAGGACACGTGTGTTTGTGAAGCATTAAAGCTGCTTTCACTGAATTTCCAAGCAGATGACGTTCTTTTCACTGTTCTCACAAGCAAAGACCGGACTAGTACTCTATCTTGGAGAGCTGTTTGGCCTCACCCCTTTCTTGTTTGCATAACACGATGTGAAGAACTCACGCTGTCTTAGCCATCGAGTGTTTATAAGTAACGCTTCAGCTCTTATTGTCGCTATTTGGTTGTACTTGTTTACTTGATTTTGTCTTTACTTTATTAAATACTTATTAGTAAAATACTTTATTGAATACCATGTAAGAAAAAAAGACGAGGCCTTGTGGTAGAATATCCGCTTGCCATGCAGAAGACCGAGCTTCAACCCCCCTTGGACTCAAACAACCCTGGTTCATTCCCCTCTCTGCTCCAGGATTTTTATTAATTATTATTTTTTTATTTCTACCGTTCTCAATTTTTTTAGTCCCAACCAACGAAACCGATGCCGGAATCTCTGCGAAACGAGCTTTTTAATGCTGTCGCGTTAAAATGGCCTACACAAATCCACCAGAGATGTCCGATCACTAAGCCTTTTACAACCATGACACATTGCCTGCAAGGCAGGACACGTGGTGCACGGCATGTGTTTGGTGACCTATAACAAAACCGCCAGCAATGATGCACTTTACGTCACGCGAAGAAAGAGAAACGCATGCGACACTACACAGTAAACCGATTCTGACCCTTAAGGGTGTCAAAAAGGGTGCCGACACCCTAATCACACACTTTGAGCACCCTATTCGCGTCTCAGCACCCTACAAGCGGAACCTAAAGGGTGAACACATCAAAAGGGTGGAAACTAGGGTGCAAAAAGGGTGCAACAACTAATGGGTGCTGATGAGCACCCATTAGGGTGCACAGTCGCCGACAAAGCTTTGTGAGATATAGGGTCCCATCGCACTGAGACTTACACGGAACATGACACCAACTACGAATTTGCACTTGTATAGTGTCCCTGTAGTTTTTCAATGCAATAACAACGTATTGTGCGAGTGAAATGGGGCCTCATCTGTCACGACCACAGCAACGCACGGCGTTGTTGGAACGCAGCAAGCTCCGGAAGCCTCTACCACAACGTGTGAAATTGTGCAGGTGTTTGTAAATTGTGGCACGATATTGTTCGTGCAAAAGCGTGCTATTGATGATATGGGCCGGCCGAGAACGATAAGAGTGACACAGAATCACACAGAAAGAATAGCTGCGAAATCCAACCCGATGTCTACTCTCGGTACCCAAATGCTCGGCACCCAAACATTCGTAGAATCCCCCAACGTACAGTGCATCCAGCCACCATGGAAGACTATACCTTTTAGATACACAACCGACTTTTTCACAGTAAAAGTTCGCCCCGCCGCGGTTGTCTAGTGGCTAAGGTACTCGGCTGCTGACCCGCAGGGCGCGGGTTCGAATCCCGGCTGCGGCGGCTGCATTTCCGATGGAGGCGGAAATGTTGTAGGCCCATGTGCTCAGATTTGGGTGCACGTTAAAGAACCCCAGGTGGTCTAAATTTCCGGAGCCCTCCACTACGGCGTCTCTCATAATCATATAGTGGTTTTGGGACGTTAAACCCCACATATCAATCAATCACAGTAAAAGTTCGCATAGGTTTTCCCAACTATAACGAAAAAGCCAAATCACAATTGTGGAAAAAAAGGCTGCTAAAAGTAGTAGTGGCAGTGACTGAGGAGAGAGAAAGGCGCTCTTATTCAGTAATACATAGTTGTCTGCGTATCGCTTGCTCATCATTGTCGTCGTTGTTTTATTGTTGTTCAATGCAGCGATGCCAATTGCGCCTGGAGATAAGAAATGGGCAGAATACTTACCCACATTCGCAAACTATTTTATGGAGCTGTGCCACTCACGTTCCCGCCGTAGCCGAAACAGCTACTACCGTTCAGTATTTATACGACGTGTCAGTGTAAGAATGGCGCCGAAGCGTTCTTACACCATTAATATTCAACACATTACTATTTGCTGAGCAGGGATGTCAGAAACACTGGCGAAATTTACTACGATGCTCAAGTTTTCGACCTTAATAAGGCGTCAAAAACAACTGTCACAATTGTTGAAAAGAGCTTGGAGTAAAGAAAGTGAGTAAGCGCTATTGTATGGAGTATTTATGCAAACTCTCAACGGGGGGGGGGGGGGGGGGGGCAGAAGTGGCAGAGCTGTCTTTTTTTTTATTCATAGGTTGTAACCGAGTATGTTTGTAAACAGTGGGACTCGCTATC